TATACAATACAATCTGCAAACGTTTTTTTAAAACTAATAAATGAGTCAATTTTTAAAAACCGTTTCATCCACTGATCTAAACGGTGACCGGGACTCGGTGAGCGACTATGAAGTGCCTGAAAGAGACTTCCTCTGGTTTTTGAGGCGCTGCTGCTTAAATCTCTCAGCTTTAAACAACAACTGAGGAAGCTGGCCTACTGGACTCGATATTTTTAAACTCAACGCAGACCAACCCACTTCTGCTTTTGGATTCTCGATTTCTAACATCCAGCAAGAATTTTTTTTCTTGCCTGTCAGCTTTTCAACAGACTTGCCTGTGGCTCAGCCGGAGTTTCCATTTTAGCCAGCAGCTGAAGACGGGCTTTACTGCTGATGCTGCCGAAGCTACACGTTGATCACTTTATAACCCCACTGCTGGCGTGTTTCTCTTGGCCAAGTTTATTGTGTGGATATGTGACTTTTTTCTCAAAGCCTTCACTTTTATATGTGCTTGGCTGCTTTAGACTTCCAAAGGCCTGCCCATCCATTCAGTGGAGTTAGTTTTATTTATGATGAGGACTTGCTTGTGGGTTGTCTATGGAGTGCTGTAAATGAGAAGCAATGACCAGCATTATGTGTGTCATCACAGAAAGGGTAAGGATGTCAGCAGTAGAAAGGAAGGAACTGGATAGGCTGCAGTGCAGAGTTTATGCCACTTATCTGGGTTATGGCACATACTCATAATAAAAGTAATCAACTTTTACCTCAGTAAACATAATCTGTGGAAGATGAACCACGGCTGCTGTAATTTACTTTGGTTTCCTGCCAAAGATTTCAAAAGATATTCAGCTGTTAGTGTTAAATAGTGCATTGCAGTTTTCAGTAACCTGAACACAAAATAGTTTTGCTTTTCCATCCCAGACTACAACAGGAAATGGCTTAACTTTCCCTCTCGAAGAAACTTGACCTAGAAAGAAAATCTTCTAGGTCAACTTAAACCATATCTGATTATGACAGTTCACTCTGATAACAACTTTATGGTGTCATTCGTTAATCATGACTCAGTACTGGCACATATCACAGCGACAACCCCCCCAAAAATAAAGAAATCAGATTATTCACTGACACAGAACCAGTTGAATCCCACTGCCCTGTGTGTCTGGTCTGTATTGGAGGATTTTTCTGTTTTTACCAGCCACTATACCACAGGAGGCATTGCTTTATCTGTGTGTGTGTTTGTGTTTCATCGAGGTTAAATGATGTCCTGGAGAAACTCACTGCAGCACGAACTACTGCAAAGGTGGATTCGAGTACTTTCGCATTTTGTCTGAGGACAGATTTAGTAAACATCAGAGCGCAGCTGTCATTACATTTAACAGGTGTCTCGGTGAGTACAAAATTGAGTCTGAAGATTTGGTTGGCCTGTGTCACAACTACTAAATGCTCACTGAATAATGTAGGGCTGCTCGACACTAGCAAAAGTCCACATCACTGTTATTTTGTCAATATTGTAATCCCAGGGAGGGATGTTCTTTAACCGTTATCTCATACAGGCAGAGCCAGTGGTTAGTGAGAGCTGAATTGTGGAGTATATTGCAGCCAACACAGGGTGTATTGCAAATGTCAAATCGTGAGCCTTTCAGGTCTTGTCTTCTTTGATCTCCATCATGTGCAAACATTTTACCTGTGTGAGGTTATTTTCTCTGGACATTTTCAGAGGATAGAGGCCCAAAGCACTGATGTGAGAACTAATTGTGTGACTCCAGCTGGACTGCAGGATTGGTTGTAATTTCTTTTGATTTCTTGCTGCTTCTTCTTTCTTTCTTTTTTCCAGACCATTCAGGTTGAGTGACATTAAAGATGGCAACGTATATTTATTTTTTTTACTGCTGGTTCTTAATGTTTAATCAGATGACTCCTGATGTCGTGAATGGTTACGTTTCCTGTGTACAAACTCTGCACAGGGGCAGGGGTATTGCTCAAAAGTTTTAGTGTGCAAATGTGGAAGTGGAAGATAAAATATAACTTAAAGAATTGCATTAAGTCGTTCCTGTAGTGGGTGATGAGGTTATTTGTGCTCAGTCTGTGTGCCCAGATTGCCATCAGCAGTGAAACTGAGCTGTTCATGTTGGACAACAAACACAGGAAGCAGACGAGACGTCACATCTGTGCAGATGGGAAAAAAAGTATATGCTAAAATACTAGCTAGTGCATTATAACAAATCTGTGCTAATCCAGTTGATCTTAATCTTTATTTTGATCTACCAAAGAGCCAAAAAGGCTCTTTACTGTAGTTACTGCCAATCATTAGTAATGCAACTTGAATGAAATGACATGAAAGTAAATATTGTCATGAGTGCATCAGCAAACTCTGAACACACAAATGATATTTTATATAAATCCAATCCATTATTATTATTATTATTATTTAGTGACATTTGTCTCAGTGTCAGCAAACCATCAACAGTGGCTTTACAGTGCTGCACCTGTGATGTCAGCCTCACCACCGCGCTGTTTTGAAACCAAATACGATGAGAAAACGATTGTGAAAAAGCACGCTCATCGCTCAAGTTGTTAACCAATGAAAATACCCTGGATAATCCTTTTTTATGTGACTTACAGTGACCAAAATTTACAAAATGAACCTAATGTTTTATTCATGAAGACATCAGTGACCAGGAAAGTTTTTACCGAGGGCCGTCTTCCCATAATTCCTTTTGCAACCGCAGATATTCGCCCTTAGCTGCCGTTAAAACGAATGCAGACCTACGACACTTGGACGCTGGCTTCACTTTTCAGACTTGTCTATGGGCTTGCCCCACAGTTTGAAAACCACTGTGCCAATCGGCATCCTGTGTTAGTTACCAAATACTTTTGAGGTATATTTTTGATGTTTGAGTTGTTGTGACATGCAGTTATATTTCTGGGAAGGTGCAAGACTAGCTCAGACAGGTGTCCTTACTAAGGGGAACCCGCATTTCACAACAGATTCCTTTGATTCAGAATATATCAGAATGTAACTCACGGTTGGTGAAATAGATGCTTGACGTCTGAAAGGTTAAAGGGTTCCCCTGGTTTTTAGATTTCAGGACCTGAGGTTAAGGGGTTCAGTCCTTTTGAGACTGTGCGAGCTATAACTGTATGTACTTGCTCACGGACAGTGTCAGGCACTCGAGATAAAAGTGTACCAAATGGAGGATGTTAAATGGAATTGGAGTTTAAGTGTGAGTTCACTCAGAGGGCAGCCCTGCTGTGTGGGTAAAATGAGTTACTACAGCCTTCAGTCTTGAGTAATTTGGTTAGTGCCGCAGATGCCATGTTTCTGTAAATCAGAATAACACTGGCAAGCTTCTTTGTAGCTCTCTGCTCCTGCCATTATGTTGCTCTTCATGTTCTTGCTGTCTTTTGTGACAGTCGTTAAAGCAGAGGGATTCTGGGAAAGGAGATGTGTTGTTTAGATGCAAGAAGAAAGCACTTAATAGAAGACAGACCTCTGGGGACACATACACTTAGCCCTTATAGTCAACATTTTACTGTGGTATAGTGCATATAATTATAAGGTGGCTAGTAGGGCTGCACTATTTTGCATAAAATGAGAATCACGATTTTTTTGCTTAAAATTGAGATCACGATTCTCTCACGGTTTTCTTTTCCAGTATAAATATTTATTGCACTTATTAACTGCACATCAACTTCGTAACAGTTGAGACTGAACATAAAAACAATAAATAAACATAAAAACAACAAATGTCTCACGTTTTGTTGTTGCCGCAAAATGTTGTACTGCTTGAAATTCCGTCTCCACCGTTGCTCGACGCTGCGTGTATAGAGCAGGTAGTGCAACAATAGAAAAATAGTTGCGGGACGGCACTGTGTAGCGTTTGTCTAGGGTGTTGATCATTTTCCTAAATCCCTCGTTTTGCACAGTGTTGATGGGAGCCATATCTTTGGTCAGGTGATAAGTGATAGCCTCCGTGATTTCTTTGTGCCTGCGGGAGTTCGACGGGTATAGGGAAGCGCTGTATAAGGTTCCCGTTATTGATGTTTGGGTGGTTGACCGGGACGGATTTTCTCCTGTCACTTTCTCGTCATCCCTGACGTGCTCTCCGTTGTTTTTTCCCTGCTAATTTTAGCATCACACGGCACAGCTTCTGTATCACGTGGTATAAGGCTCCGCCCTTGTCATTTGTTGAGCAGGAAGAGTGAGCGCTTGTTTTCATGCAGATTACGTCCCGGATCAAAATGCGGTACAATCGTCGTCTTTTTTTTTTTTTTTTTTTTAAATCGTTGTCACATAAGTATGAATCGAGATCGCGATTTTCTAACGATTAATCGTGCAGCCCTACGTTGCATCCATGTTTGTGTGTTGGACCCAAAATGTGTTTGATACACTTATTAGCCAAGCAAGACAGCTTCAGCTGATAACTTAGCATCTTGGTCAAATACAGTCCAATACTAGCTCCTAAAACACAGAAGGCAACTGTTCACGTGGGTTATGTCTATCTTTTATATACAGTCTTTTGTTGTTATTATTAAATAAATCCTTTTTGATAATTTTGTCTTGTTCTCACATGTAGATCATTAAAAGGAAAGAAGATCAAATATGGAATAAAAGTTGAAGCTTAATATGCCTTCATTTTTTATACATTCTAGTAGGAGGCCTTTTCATTACTAGTTTTCACCAATTCAAAGGCCTTGGTAGTGCCATAGTCCGGGTTTAGATATTTAGCATCTGAAAGCCACATTAATAAAGAAAATACTTTTTTTTTCTTGCTGGATCTCACCAGTTACACACTAGTTTGTTGCCAATATCCAGTTTAAGTGTGGTCATTAACTGCAACATGTTTCTTATCTTGGGACTCTTTAAAATAAAGTCTGTCACCGTCAACTTAACCTTTATAAACTGTTAAACCTTTTTGACAGGAGACTCTTGATCACTTAAATGAGACTTATACTTTTTTAATAAATCTCTTCTGGACAAAAGTGTAATATTGTGTTATAGGTAAAAAACAATGATCCAAACAAAGACTGTAAGTTTAATGAAATTTAACATGTTTATTTTAAAATGAACAAAAAAGCAGATCAAACATTTCATCAGAGTTTATGGGCTGCACAGGTTTGGAAAACAAGGGTAAATAGTAGGAGGGAGCACGAGAGACCGAGTAAGGTTGGGAGGAGGATTGGGGGAAGGTGTGGAGACTGAGGGTTTTGCGTAAAGAATAAGAGCTGGGTGAAGAGTAGGAAAGGGCACGAGAGGGTGGGTAAGGTAGGGAGGAGGTAGAGGGGTTGAGTTGGGGTAAAGGGCAAGAGTCGAAGGGAGTGAGAGGGATGGGAACCAGGCAGAGGTTTGGGTTTAGATCTTCAGTTGCTGTTTTCTCCTCCATCTTCTCGTCACTTTTTCTCTCAAGGTTTTCTTCGATGTCCTCTTTTGTCTCCTGCTTTTCCTCCTTTTCTTCCTGCTTTTTCTTGTCCTTTCTTGGTTTGTCCATTCCCTTCTCTTCTCCCTCGTGGTTTTCCAGCTTTTCCTCTTGGGAATTTGTTTCCAGGGTTTCTTCCTCAGCATCGGGTGCAAGCTCCTGTGTAGACAGAGTAAAATGTATTTTACTGAACTGTGACTCAGTCTGACAGAAGTTGTTAGGACCAAACATGACATTATGGTAGCGGAGACAGCTTACCTGAAGGACGTTCTTCCATTCGTCCAGATTTTCCTGTAAGTTCTCCATCAGAAGCTTGTTCTTAATTTGGAGCTCCTCCACTTTCTTCTTCTCCTCTTTCAGGCTCTTCTCGGTTGATTGCCACTTGCTGCTCCAGTGTTGTTCCCTGGTGTTTATCTCCATGTCTTTTATGGTCGATTCATGGAGGAGTTCTACCCAGGCTTTGGTTCGAGCTCTTCTTTTCTTCACACATCTTTGAAGCGCCTCATCCTTGAGTTTGAGCTCTTCTTGGAGGCTACTCACTTCCATTTTGTGAGCATCTTCAAGGACGCCAATCTTCTCCTTCAAAGATGCATTTTCCTCCTTTGCAGTCTTCAACTCCTGAGTGGCAAAATGGAGTGCATCTTTTAATTCTTGCACCGTTTCACTTTCAGCAATCTTGTTAGCTTCCTGCTGCTGTTTCATATCAGCAGCGCTAGTCTGCACTGGCCAAGATGCCTGAATGATAAAAACATGCACGTAGTCCATAGTTAGAAAAATCAATCACAGTGTGATGTGTGGCATTAGAAAAGTTTAAGGTGACACAAGAAAAAGCAAAAACTGAGTCCTACAGATGTTATAAAAACACAAATGTTCACAGAGTTTTGTTAAAAGTGCTTACAAATGTTTAAGTATTACAAATTAAAGTTAAACTCCAAAGTGTACTCTGCTTCCTGAAGATTATGAAAGCTTTAGACACATTTTGAGCAAAAAATTCAAAAAATGCTTTTGCTTGCTCACACGAGAAAAGCTTACCAGATTTTCTGAGACAAATGTTGGGTCCATTTGGGCTCAGGAAACACTGAAGAGTCGCTGTTACACTTGTTTAGCTGTCGATATTTTTCCAAAGCGTTCGTCGAGTCACAGCAAATAGCGAGAGATGCTTGTAGGTTCAGGTTGGTGTTTAGAAATGAAATATCCAGGTAAACACTGCAAACACTGTGTTCGGAGAATCCTGTTCAAAAATCATCAGGCGATGGTGACAGCACTACCCAGGTGTTACCATGGAGTCCATGTTGTTTTGGTGTCTGTGTTCTTGTTGTTACTGACTGAACTTGAAGCTGTTTAGCTATTTACTGTGATAAAAAATTCAAACTAGTTTCAATCAGAAAGGGTCCTTTGGGTGTAGCAACCTTTTCACTTAATCCTCAGGGGACCCGTGAGGCTTTCTGTCCTATACCTTTCATTACTTTCACCTCCAGCCTCACCTGAACTGTTTTGAGCCGTAAAATGTGCCGTGCAAAGATCTCCAATCCATGTTTTAATGGTGAAGGGTCATTAAAGAACAGGGTGTAGGGGCTAATTGGTTTAGAGAGAGCAAAACAAGAGCAGGCACATTCAAATTGAGACTGTGGTAAATTTTCAGTGTTTAAAAGCGGAGCGTCAAGTAAAATAGAGCTGTGTGAATATCTCATACTGGATAACCAAGAGAAATGGAGACAAACTTTTTACAAACAAATCTGGTTTTCAGATTCTGGGTTTCTCGGTTTGCTGCCAGAATTTATATGAATGAAGAAATTTCTTCTCCATGTTAGCCGTCTACTCCTGACTGTGATGGTGCCTCTTGGTGCGTTTTAATGCAGTTAATTAACATAATATGGCTGACTGTGCAGCCAATTGTAGAAACAGAGCATCCAAGAAGTCTGTTATGCTCAGGTCTGGTTTTTTTGCGTTAGATTAGGGATCAAGGTGTTATCAGTAAAAGGTCACTGATGTTGCATAGAAACTATTATCTATTAATCTGGAGATGAGCTGTGATTTTGGGGGTAGATATATGTCCAGAAGTCAGCGTTTTTCCTTTGTCACCAATAAATAGATGTATGGACTGACTGATAGTCACGTGGAACACCTGATGTAGAAATTATGACCCTCGTCATACATGATTTGTATGTATGACGAGGAAACAAGAAGGGAACAGATTGTTTTCTGAAAGAAAGGATATGAACAGAGCTGAGAGCGAGGAGGAACATCCTCCGTCACATTATTCCAAATCAGCTGTTTTGGCATGCAGTCAAGCCTACTGTCTGCTTTATAAATACCCTAATATCCCTGTAGTACCAGCATTTGTGATATCACAACAATGGAATCAAATTTATATACAGAGAAGCTCGCCAAAAGTGAATTAGCCAGCTCCTGGGGGCTTTTACCTTGAGTCTCGCTGGTTTGAATTCAGATTTCTTTAGAATTGAAAATAAGTGGTTGAGATGGCGAATAAAGCGATAAACTCAATAATATTCCTGACTTTAAAAGTTTAGTTTGTGAGTTTGTGTTTGTCTCTCACTGTTTGAATCAAACAAAATTTGAATTGTAAACTGAGCGAGCAGAGTCACACAAATAATGGCAAGAAAAACACAACACGGTGAACTAATAACAATGATAACAATAATAAAACCGAATTTGATGGTAGTGATGATACAAACTAAAGCATCTTTTCCACAAAGTTCCCCTCAAGTCAATTTCTTTGTCTTTCTCTGGCCTTGGACCAACAATTCAAATAAATTTGGCTCATTCATGCTGTGATCAGTGCCAAGATGTAATCCATCTAATGATGAGGCTTTGATGGTGCAAGACATAAGAAACCCACACAGTGACGTCTGCAGCACCGGTAGGTGGGTTGTAACTGAAGGGCAGGGGATATTTCCTGAGTGTCTGAGAGTAATTCGGTGTGAGGAGTCTGCTGGGAAAAGGACGGACTACATGCTAAACTGCCATGTCTCTTCCTTGTTGATGGGTCTTTCTGCAAGAGCTGTGACTTAAGTGCCAGAGCTTTTTTTTTTTTGGTCATTCATAGAGTGTGTGTGTTCAAATAAATGTTTTTAAGCTACAACTGATGTGACACTCAAACCTAACATGACTCCAGTGGTCAGAACAGGTGTGCTGTTGTTGTCAATATAACAGATGTGTTATAGAATCAATTGAAAGTGAGCCTTGTGTATAATGACAGAAACAAAGGAGGGAAGTGAAAGGTCCAGATTTTATTTCTCCCACATCCTACTTGCATTTTCCTGTTATTTCTGCCCATTTGATGAAGGTAACTTTTCATTATGGTAGGCTAAGCTTGTTGAAAATATAACTTTATATCAATGCTGGTGATTTTTCTTTTGGAAGAGGAAAACAACCCCCTTTCTTTTATGCAGAAAAAAGAAAAAACTCTCTCTTCTTGCAGCCGTCTAAGCTGTTGATTCTGTTTTTATCACCAGATATTTATCTGTCGTACGTAGGCTTTGCAGCCCTGTGATATCTCCTAGCAACCATTTCAAATAGTCTGGAGAGAAGCTGACATGTGGAACAAATTGCTAAATATATATCAACTACGTTCAAGGGAAGAGTGATGCGAAACGATGATCAGTCACAGATGCTAATCTGTTGTTTTATTTCTTAACTTGCAGTTCAAAGTGAATGACTGAATCAGTGACCTGAATTTGGGCCGTACAGCCTCTGCTTCAGTGCAGTAACAGCTTGTATACAGAGATCTGTCAAATCTGCCAATCAGAAGAGATCTTTCCTATATTAGTTGCGTGTATATAGATATATAAACATAGATATAGATGGATGGATGGCTAGACCGACAAATAGTATGTCCAAGCAGAGAAGCCCAGATTTCTTCTCCCAGGCTACCTCTTCCTGCTCATTGCCATTCCCAAGCCAGCCGTCTCTCCGGCAGATCCTTAATCTGCCCCGGGGCCTCCTACCAAGAGGACATGCCTGAAACACCTCGCCTAGGAAGTATCCAGGAGGCATCCTAGTCAGATGCCCGAACCACTTCAACTGGCTTTGATGTGGAGGAGCAGGAGCTTTACTCTCCCTCTCGAAAGACTGAGCTCCTCTTCCTATCTCTAAGGAAGTGCACAGCCACCCTTTGAAGGAAACTCATTTCCGCCACTTCTATCTGCAGCCTCATTCTTTCTGTTACTACTGAACTGCCATAGCTGCTACACCAATTTATTTCCTGTTTGTTTGACTCCCTAAATTCATCATCTTGGTGTTTTAAGTCAAATATCACGAGCTGCAATGTCATAAAGCTTACCCTTGTCTATTTACACAATATAGATTTATTTAATCTGTTAGATTTGACTGTATGTTTGTTAGCAGTCTAGCAATATCATTTTTACACTTTGTGTGACGTTTGATGCCAATAAATGAGCTGATTTAATTTTGGGGAAACTAAAGGTCAAGCTCCCACCAAAATCAGTGAAACTTTATATTACCCACAATTCTTTCATGGATTGTCTTCAAACTTCACAACAATACACTAGATCGTGGGGTACATGGATACATAGGTTGGCTAAGCATTTGACATTGACCTTCATTGTTAATGTCCAAGGTCAAAGTTAACCTTCAAATTTTTTTTTCAAGAAACCGCATCGAGTAATTTATCATATGAAACCAATCCCACCAGATTTCTTTGTTTTTGCAGCCAGCCATTACAAAAATGTAATTAAGTAGATCCTGAATGATCGTGGGTACAAACACACAGAGCATTATTGCACCTACTGCTTCTATACCTGCACGGTGCTCATGCTAAACCTTCTTTGTAGACAGAAAATGTCAATAAATGTGCCTAAAGATAACTTGTAACACTTGATAACTGTTACAATTCTAGTACTCTGTTACACTTATGAAGAAAGGTAGCTGTACTTATATTCACATCGTCTACAATTGTCAGAATTATGAATTAATAATACTTTGATTTAAAAAAAGAAACAAAACAAGAAGCTAATCTGTGTGAAATGTGAAATATCATCTATATCTATATTTGGCTGTTTTTGATACTCGAGACCATTTACAGAGTTGAACTGATACCAGTTACATAGACTAACAAGATCTTTATGTATTGAGTTACTGTGAGATGTTTATTAGATCTTCTCTTTCCCATCTGCAGGGCTGCCTTTGCCCTGACAAAGCCGCTCAAGATGAACATGGTGAAAAGGATCATGGGGCGGCCGAGGCAGGAGGAGTGCAGCCCCCAGGACAACGCGCTGGGCCTCATGCACCTGCGACGCCTCTTCTCCGAGCTGTGCCACCCTCCTCGCCACATGACCCAGAAGGAGCAGGAGGAGAAGCTCTACATGATGCTTCCTGTATTTAACAGGGTAAGTCACACCATGGGTGGAGGGAGAACTGGAGGTGCTCCAAACAGGCGGATTAACAGATATTTGTACATATGGCAGCTCTGATGTGGCAGGTTACAGTTTGCTTCATTTGGTTCCTGTGCTGTCTGTAGCTATCTTTCAAATCATGTGTTTCTCGTCTGTGCAGTATTAAAAAAAAAAGGAAAACAAGAAGAGAGCTCTGTTGTGCTGGGTTACAAACACGCTAGAGCTGCTTCCCTGAGGTCATGGGTGCAATAGATACTATAGATGCATTGACATTTGAAAACGAGATCTCACCAGGGAACTTCTGCAGATTCAAATCCAGTGGTTAAAAGCATATTTTCATATTTTCATACGTACCTGTCTGGATAGCTCTCAGATTCTGTTCCACCAGACTGCAGATAAATGGAATGGAAATGAGCTTGTTTACTTCTGTGGGCTTGTTGACTTTAGGGCTAAAGGTTAGCTGAACAAAGCACAACGAAGTGGACTTTTCAGTCCAACCTTTGTGTCATATATTTTTTACTGTCTCCACAGTGTACACAGGCATGAGGTTTTCAAATTATGCTTTTATTTATTAAAGCAAAAAGGTTAACCAAATCTACCTGGCCTTGTATGAAAAGGTTGTTGTGCAAACGTTTGGCAGTGAGAACTGCAGTTTTGTGTTTGCAGTAACTGGCAATGGGTCTTTCACACAGCTATTGATGAATTTAGACGCACTCATCTATGAAGAATTACTTTAATCAACCACATTAGAGGGTTTTCAAGTATGAATGGCCTGTTTAAGTTCATGCCGAAGCATCACAGGCAGATTTAAATCTGGACTTTGACTAAGCCACTCCAAAACCTTAGTTTTATTTTTTATTTTTTACCCATTCAGAGGTGGACTTGCTGGTGTGTTTCTGATTATTGTCCTGCTGCATAAGCTAAGTGCAGTTAGCCAGAATTCTCATTCTTGTAGAGAGTGGCATGCATGGATGCATCAATTACAGCAAGTTGTCCAGGTCCTGAGCAGCTCCAGACCATCATACTAGCACCAGCACCATGTTTGCCTGTAGTGTCAGTGTTTGGAAAGCAGTTAGTCTTACACTAGATGTAGCAGGAGTAGGAGGAGCTGAACTTTTCAGGTGCAGATCAAAGCAAATAGTACCCAAAACACACCTGGTTGTCAGGTGTTAAGGAGCAAGTGCTGAAAAGTACTGAACTCACTGAACTACACATTGTCTCATCGTTAGTTTGGTGTTTATAATATTTCAGAATCATTTGTGATTAAATTAAACAACCTTCAAAGCTTTTTTAAATTATATATCTGCTAACTAACTAATGTTAAGTTTTATTGATTTAAGCACTAATAGGAAAATCAGACCAGTTGAATGGTGGGGGTGTAACTATTTTGATGCAGGGGGAGAAAAGTCCAGTACAGACTTGTATTTTTTTATCTTTTAATATTTATCTGTAGACTAAATAGATTCAGGTTTATCCAACATTTTTAATTTCTGAAATCTCAGTTGTGCAGTTTCTGAGCCAGGTGGAACAGCTCACTGTTGTTATGGTCATTCAGCCTCTCCAGAGAGTCTCTCCCTCCCACTTTACAATGGCCTTAAGCTATGTTAACAAAATATGTTATGAATTACTAATTAATAATAAATTTTCATAAAGCATTTTTGCACCTCCTATTGGAAAAACTCTAAAATCGAATCCAGATCTGTGGAAACCAGTCAAGTCGGTGGGTAATCATGGAAGTGAGCTACACATATTAACAACTTAACAAAATGAAGTTGTTGAAATCCCTATAGCTGTTTTGTTTTTTTTATCCAAAAGAACAGAAGTAAAGCCTGCAGGCCAGTAATTCGCCTTTTTGTTTGGCAGCCGCAGCTGTAGGCTGCCTTTGTTAAGTGTGCTCATCAAGCTGGAGTGCACTGCCAAGGGTCTCTTGACTTGTCTGCTAATTACCCACCACTGGCTGGGATTCACACCTGTGGCCATACTCATGTCAGAATCTGGATGTAAAGTGGTCCCTGTGCGGCGGGACGGCAGCCTCCCGCCCTGCTCTCAAGTCAGATTTGCTGGATAAGTAAACAGATGACGAGTCTTTGCTGGATGAAGAGAAGTTTGTCTTTGTTGACCTGCTGCCCCAAAGGCTTAGCCTCCAATGTTCTCTGTCACCATAAAGTAGTGCATTCAAGCAAAACCTGTCACAGATATCAACAGGAATGAGGATTTCTGTAACTGCACACACCTGACTATAAGCTAGGTTACATATAAGTATCGAGTGAACAGATGTCTAGTTTTTGAGTCTTTTTTTGGTTCCTCTCTTCTTGTTTTTTTAAATTATTATTTTTTCATTAATCAAATGCTTTTTTTTTTGTTCACTTCAGGTGTTTGGGAACGCACCTCCCAGCAGCATGATGGAGAAATTCTCCGACCTGCTGCAGTTCACCACCCAGGTGTCCCGACTCATGGTGACTGAGATCAGACGAAGAGCCTCCAATAAATCCACAGGTGAGCTTGCAGATGCACACAGACTCATATTTGTAAGTGCAAAAATGCACTATAGAGTAGGCCTACTTGTAGAGTTCTTTGGCACCAGCCAATTTCTCATAACCGGTTTGTGTCTTCTATTTTCCTTTTGGCTGTGCAGATGAACACAGTGGTGTTGAAAGAGATTTTTGTTCTTTATTTAGATACAAAGACAGTTCTTATACAGAGTTTCAACTATAGAACTGATTGTAAGGCACAGATGGAGCATCTGAGCTTTGTTAGGTACACATAGTAGATGACAAGATAGAAATGAAGACTCTAGGGAGTTTATTTTTTCACTTTCCCCCATAAAGACAACATATGACGGCCTCCCCAGTACTCTTAATGATGAGTTTGGACACCTAAGTATATATAAATATGTCGTCTGATGACTATTAGAATATTTTCTGGGTTTTTCTAAGGGTAGCTGGTTAATCCAAACACAGGCATTTCTTGCAAACGTTACTCCTGTTAGGCTTTCAAGAGTTAGTACCACATATGGCAAGGACCCTAATATACTGTAATCTGTATATTATTAGTGGACATAAGTACACGCCCATGCCTGATTATGATTGGTCACTGATTTTAGTCAATGATTTAAAAAAAATAAAATAATTGATGCTCAATATAACTGTCTACTCCATCCTGGAAACCCGATTTATTCTATGGATGTGCGTAAGAGCTTCGTCTTATTCTACCCTATCACAATAAGATTCTTTTATTAATTGTTCCCCTAAAGATAAATACATATTTCATTGTTTTAGTCAAGAATGTTTAAAGCTGATTTCATGATTAATGGAGAAAAAATGTTGGTGTTACCCTAATCAGATAAGGCCTTTCCCAGAATTTTGCACTTTATTTTTTGACTTTTTGGCTCTCAGTAGATACGTTTTCCTCAAAGGATCAATGCAATCCTACTTCAATCTGAAAGGTTAGCCTTCACTGCGGGCGAGCCAGCAGCATCTCATCAAAGCGTTGACAGCCGTGGCAGCTTTGACTGTGGCTTCCTCAAAAAAGACGCACACAAACAGACACACACACCAGCTTTCTATTTCTTATTTCTTCCGCTTTATCTCGTCCTTCCATCTCTTCCTCATCCCTGTCTAATCATGTGACGTGCTGTTATCAAACGGTGAACGGTTCTGATTTTGCAACACAACGGTCTAAAAAGCACTCCTACAGTTGGTCACCAGGCCTCTTTAGAATGAGTCAGTACATGATTCATGCTCTCAACTGACGTTGCAGTACTCATTATCAAAACAACAGATGTGGATTTGCTCTGAACAATGAGCAACTAGACTTTGGCTCAGCTGGTGGGTTGGATTAAGGAAACCTTTTCAAAAGCATTTTTATTTCTGCTCACAAAAGCGACTAAAAATGTGTGATTTGCTTTTTTATTATGGTTCGGTTCTAATGGATACTTGTTCCTAAACCTAACCTAGTGTGGCTATATTTTTAGGACAAAGAGTGCTGTGATAAAATTGGTAAAGACATGAGCTAACTGAAAAGCTAGCGCGTGGGACCGAAATACAATATTGATGTATTATTTTCAAGATCACAGATAACCAAAGCCGAGAAGCCCAACCACACGTTCCCTTTTGTCACATCCACTGTAATGATTAATTTGTTACATATTTGATCATTATTCAAACAGCCCATCTGCCCCACAGTGAGCTGTCACTTTCCACCCAGTTAACCACACGTTTGTGTGTGTGATTGTTTTTCCAGAGGCAGCCAGTCGAGCCATAGTCCAGTTCCTGGAGGTGAATCAGAGTGAGGAGGCGAGCCGCGGCTGGATGCTTCTAACCACCATCAACCTGTTAGCTTCCTCCGGACAGGTTGGTAGAAAAGACACTGTACAATACTGTGTGAAAGTCTTGAACCACCTCTCATTTCTTCAGCCCTTGGAAGCAAAAAATAAACTTTTTTGTAATTTCTCAAAATGTTCTTGAGCAATACTCCTCCAGGCTCTCTGGAGGTGTTTTTAAAGTTTTCCTTTGGACATTGACTGCTTTTTCAGTCATTTTCACTCCAGTCCTTTTGCCTGACCATTTTCAGATCTATGACTCATTCAAGCATTAAAACACCTCCTAACTCACGGGATGAACCAGTGTTGTGTTTGCACATAATCTCAAAATTAGCACAGCACCAATGTTAAATCTGTCTTTAGGCAGTTTCACAAGCATGAAATTGTATTTTTGCACCAACAATATGATTCACAAAGTGCTTTTAGCTGACACTTTGGCATATTTTGGAATGCTCTGCAGTGTGTCCTGGAGGACAAAGGAAGATGTCAGCCCTAAAAATATATTATTTAAGAAATAAGAAAAAAAATCCAGCAAACGGCCCTTCTGTTGACACATCTACTGTTCACTGAAGCCTCATCAAAAATGGTCTCTGGTAAGCTGGCTGTCAAGAAGCCATTCATTAAAGGGAGAAAAGGCTGGTGTATGTCAAATTCTGCAAGAACTGGACTGAAAGTCAGCGACAGGTCTGACGAAGTGATGATTTGCAGCAGGTAGAGCAGGGCGATATGACCAAAAACATTTATCACGATATACATTTGAAAATTTGCGATAACGATATAACTGACGATATAATTGACACTAGACAAAATACTTTACGACTCCACAACTTTATTAGTGCAAAAAAAAAAAAAATCTATGTCTTTTTACTTAAACAAGCAGCTTTTTTAAGTGCATTATAGTTATATAAAAAATTAACAGTGCAAATGCAAATTCCTGGCTGACAGTTTAACCAAAAGGCATTTCCAGTGGAAACTGGCCGACATATCCTCAGCATAACCATGTATAATATCCACAAAGCTTAAAAACCGGTCATACACACACAATACAGTAATATTATGTTGAAGCGCAGTACGTATCACTCCGCGAGGCTTCGCCTACGATAGCCGTAATGCTCCGACAATCCATCAAGCGGTGCGGCTTCGTAGCTTAGCAAAGTCGTACTGAAACATCTGACAGATTTTCGAGCGCCGTGCACATAAAATCGTTTCGAGGTCAGTAAACACAACCAGAGTTCATACATCATGCACACGGGATTATAAGGGGCTCTGTCGACTTTCAGAAAAATCAAAGGATTGATTTTAAGTGCGCCATATTTTTCAAACAACACGGTAATAACGACGGCCCGCTAGCATGCGCTACCAAAAATAGTGCTTTGTTGTGTATCTGACGGACGAAAGCTAAACCAGTTCCACACCAGTGAAGCTGCAGCATTTTTACAAACCAGTTCTGGTTCATCCGTTTCATTCAACGATCCACTTTCGCTCTTCTCATTCTGCATCGCCGCCATGTGCGTCTGTAAACAAAGGCACTGCCTTATACCGGTATTACTGTGAACGGTATGATATAGCCCAGCCCTAGTGTGGGGTCATGTTGACAAAGAATGGATTAAAAGGAAATGAACATTCAAAGAAAAGCTTTGATCTGAAGCCTGAAGAACTGTTTCTGAAAACTATTTAAAGAAATGAAAAGAACGTTTACCTAAGAGAGTTCAGGCTGCGCTGAAGGTACCGTAAGAACCAGGAGACTTCAGTATAATTAACAATTCTCACCTGACCGAGTCTCATTTATTCTCCCCAAACACAACCTTTCTATCTGCAGTCTTCTGATGCTGCTGGATGTCACATGAAGAAAATTCATGCATTGTGATTTTTCTTTGTAGCATTTAGTCACAGTAATGAGTGCCTTACTCTGTTCCTACCACCTGCTTATAAAGGTTGGACGTTGAGCTCTTGTTTTCGTCTTTGTCTGTAGTCTTGAATTGTGGCCAGCAGACTTCTTTTGAACTTTTTGGCCTGCGTTCCTCTGGAGGTCTTGTGGGGAGTGTTGCTGTCAGCTGGTCGGCTGTCTGCTTTTCCTGCTCTGCTGCACATCAGAAATTCACTGTTGTTGTTGCTTTTGGGTGGAACGCTTCTTCCCATCTACAGACACGTGATCCACCCCCTCTTCTCTGTGCCCAGTCTTTAGCCGCTCTCAAGCATGCGCTGTTTAATAGTTAGGCAGGCAGCACCCTAATATGTCGACTTACTGAATATTTCCTTGAATGCAGCAACAACAATCTTGCCAAACCAGACATAGCAAAATGGCACTTGGCCAGGCTGTGAGACAGGCAGTCTTCTTCTGATGTAACATGTGAGCACTTGGACCGACTCCTGTTCTCAGTTATTTATGTAACTAAATGATGAGTAGGACATAACATGTTGACACAGAGTTCCTTTATTTTTTGTCATTTGTGAATGTCTGGTGGGCACGGATCTTTCCTTTGTGCTCCAGAAATGCACTTGGATGAATTTATCGGAAAAACTTGATCACCAGTTGACATTTTTAGGGCAGTTTTTTGTGGTTTTCTGTAGCCAGTTTTGTGGTCTGCTTTCTTAAGAATTCCACTTGGCGTATACTTAACTTGTAGAGCACTTGTAAAATAGTTGTGTTGAGCAAAAGTAGAGAGTACTACACATGTGATGGAGATTCCCATCACTTCCTAGTTACTGAATGACAGAGCTTTGATATTCGTGCACAACAGCACAGCATCTTTGTGCAACTCTCAACTCTTGCTCAACACGAAAGAAAAGAAGGAGGCAAGACGGCTGGTAGTATTCAGCCGCTGCGTTTCAAAGGTTGGGTATTTCCATCTCCCTGTAGCCCAGCATTTCTGAAATTTCCATTTACTGTCGCTGATTTACTCCATAGGTGATGCATGATTTATTAGTCTCTGTACAGCTTTTATTTAAATAGAACCAGTTCACAACAACATAAGCATAAAATCTGTGTTCGTAAAGCAAAGAGTTTCTGATTTTGCTCATTAGCCGTGTACTTTGATAAGGTTTTTTTGGGAAGACTTGCATTGCCCTCTCTCGGGAAGGACCTTAGTAAGCGCTGGCGTTGCTCTGTGCCGTGTGTTTCAGACTGAGATGAGCTGCAGCTCAAGACACCAAAATGCTGGAGAGAACGTCCAGCAGAGTTTTTCTTGTTCCTTCGGCTCAGACACAAGTGGCTTGTCTGTGATCTGATTGGTCACACGTGTAAACACATTGAGGATGTAAATGTAAACAATCATTTAAATGATAATTTTAGGTTTATTGGTCAGTACCACTGGACATGCACACTGCACAGTCAGCGGTCTCCTTTAAATGAATAAGGGCTGCTTCTTGTGACTGTTTGATATCAGCGAACACAGACGGGCAGTAAAAAATAACCCGTGTCGTTCGTGTGTGTGTGAGAGTGAGAGTAGGTTTAATGGATTTCTCCAGGCAACTGGCCTCCCATAAACCTGACGTCACCTCCCTCCCTTTAATGCTCTCCCCTCTCGCTCCCTTTCTCCCCCACCTCCTGCTCGTTCTTCCTCACAGCATAAAACGGCAATATTTTTGTCAGTAACTCAGTCTGGACTCTTCTCTTGTTTTGTGTTTTTAAAGGGTGCCCTTCATGCACTCCCACTGCGCTTGTTTCTCTCTCTCTTTTTAAAACGGACAGGAGATCAATTTATTGGTATTTTTCTTCTCCTTGTGTCTGTCTTCTTCTCCCTTCCTGTCTCTCTGTTTTTCTCACACACTGTTAAATGCCTTCGTCTCTCTGGTTTTGTCTCTCATTTCTTCACGGTAACCTTGACCTGACTGCAGTGGGACCAGTATTCTGTGACAGCCTGTAAACACACACACACACACACACACACACACACACACACACACACACACACACACTCTTCGGCGTGGCTTGTTGTACCACAGGTGCTGGTCCAGTCTTCCATTGTTGTGACTCACCATCATCTATACACACCTCTGCCTACTTCTATATCTTACTCCTTTCTTTTTCTTTTTTCCATCTGAGGGGCTGAAACTGCGTGTGTGCCTGCTGTGCTTTGTTATTCATCGCTGTGCATCCACCTCCTCTCCATCGTGTAGACGGCGTTGGAGTAAATGGGATGGTCATTTCATCCAGCTGCAGCGCGTGTGTGTGTGCGCATGGGCATATGTGGTCTTTTGTGAGAGCTCGTGTGTAAGAGCAATGTAATTTGTCTCTGTGTGTTTGTGTGTGCGTGTGTGCGTGCGTGCGTGCGTGTGTGTGTGTGTGTGTGTGTGTGTGTATGTGTTGAATGTGTGAAAAGCATTTACACAAACATTTTTCATACTTATTTGCAAAAGATAAGAAGCTAGTTTCTCCAAGAATGCACACGAGCGGATCAGGAACACTTCCCAAAAATCTGAGAGGAACAAAATGAGAAAAGCTCCAGGGTGTGTAAAAGGTTACTG